GCCCCCCGAGGCCCAGCAGCTTAGCCTGGCTGTCCTGGGAAGGCCCCTCGGAGAAAGGGCTGGAAGCTAGAGCCGGGGAGAGGAGCACCCCGAGAGAAGCTGAGGCGGCGGGAGCAAACAAGGGATATAGGGGGGCCTCCAGCGGAGCCGGGCCCAGCGGCCTGTCTACTCCAGCGGGGCCCAGCGGCACCCTGTCTACTCCAGCGGGACCCAGCGGCACCCTGTCTACTCCAGTGGGGCCCCAGGCCCAGTGTTTCCTGAATGATGGAAAGGCACAGGCCTAGGGACCAGCCCGTGGCCGTGGCCTTTGTGCAGTGGTGAAGGCTGTGTGTGCGTGTGTGTGTGCGTACGTGTGTGCATGTGCGTGTGTGAGCATGTGTTCATGGTCGTATGAATGTGCGTGTTCGTGTGTGCACACGCATGTGCGCATGTGGTTGTGTTCGTATGCGTGTGTTCGTGTGCCTGCACGTGTGTTTATGTGTGCACACGTGCGTGTGTGTGCGTGGGAGTGAGTGTGGGCTGCTGGAGGAGACGGGATTCCTAATGGGGGACAGGCAAACAGTATGTAACTGATCTGACCTGAGGGTCTCATCCTTTAGCCCTTTTTATAGCACGTATCTTCCAACGAATCTTTTACTGTGCAGAATTGAAATTCATAGATGATACAACCTACCTACACACAGAACTTAAAAATCAACGTGCTTCCCTGTCCATACCATAGAGGAGAAATGACAAAGAATAATTTGTGATAAAATAACATAAACATGTTAATGTGTGACTGTTGAGGCCCCACCACACTGGCCACACCTGTCCACACAAGCACACGCCGATGCAGGTGCTGAGGCAGTGACTCACCTACCTCCAGCATGTTGCCATCGATGAAGTGATTTAAGGAAATGTTGGACAACTCTTGGTACCAAAGTGAACCTTCCCTAGATTTACACAGAACTGTAATTGTGTTCCTAGAAAGTTCATTGTATATTAATACCATTTTTTTAAACACTATTAATTTCCAGGCTCAGATAATTAAACACAGGTTTTCACCTACATGAATGTCCTAGGGGACACTTGGGAATCTGGATGAGGGACAATTTATTGTGCCCGCTATGTTTGGAAGAATATCTTATTCCCCTGCCCTGCTCATAACTGCCAACAATGGCCCCTCATCACTGTAAGCACAGAAGAAAACACCACAGATTGTTTTTTGATGTTCTCTAGGGAGTGTTTGAGATCCTTTGAGCTAGAAGTTGGGCAGAAGGGAGGAAGAGAGTGGGGCAGGATTTCTAACCACTCAAAGCAATAGACACCCTCCTCAGCGTGGCCTGATGTCCTCTCAGCAGGGTGGAACCAAAAAATGTGGGTGTCGACTGAAATAAAGTTACTGACCCCAGGACAACATGTGGATGAGGAATTTCCTAGACTGCTTTGAAAAGAAGAGTTTCCTGTCTGCCTGGTCTGAAGGCTACTTCAGCTGTCTGGCCAGCAGAGCACCCTCTCTCTGTGCTTCTGTGTGGTCCTGGCAAAGCTGATGCCTAGGAGGACACCCCTCCCAGACCCAGCATGGCCTCTCTGGAGGGGTGAATCTGCATAGGCACCCTCTCAGGAGCCCCCAAAGGAGTTCTCAAAGCCCTCATCTAAACCTTCACTCTGGCAGCTTCTCTCCGGCTTCCCTGAAGTCCTGACCCCTTTGCTGGTCTGAGTTGAGGGGGACAGAAGGGTGGAGTGCCCCCCTGGAAAAGAGCAGTCTGTGATTCCGTGAAATTGAACATTATTTTGGTGTTATTTATCGCCACGCTGCTGGTGCTAAATCAGAAAAGGAAACACCTTTAATGTCCATATCACAGAGTATTGGTTTAGTACATTGGAATGTATTCACTCCATGTTTAAAACAGCAGCCAATGATATTAACTTGGGAAAATATGAGAATTTGAGGCGGGGAGACAGAATACAAAATTTGTACAGTTGTGGTATATATGTGTTTAAAAGCTGGAAGAAAATACAGCAAGGGGCACCTGGCTGGCTCAGTCAGAAAAGCAAGTGACTCTTGATCTTGGGGTCATGAGTTTGAGCTCCACGTTGGGTGTAGAGGTGACTTAAATAAATAAAACTTAAAAAAAATACATCAAAATGTTAGCAGTAATTGCCTCTGGGACCATGAATAATTGGGCACCTTTTTTTCTTGATGTTTGTTTTTAATTTTAGTTCCAATGTTTTACAAGTGTTACCTTTATAATCCTTTTTTTAAGCTTTCTTTTTAACTGCCCTCGGGACTCTGAAACTGCTCACCTTTTTCCACCAGCACCTACAACCGCATCCTCCAGTGTCACTGCCCAGATGCCCCAGGACACTTACCAAAGCCCACCCCCCACCAGTACCCAACGCCCATCCACTCCTCTTCCTTCCACCAAGCACCAAACTCCTCTCCTCCAGGGAGGACGCACTCAATCCCGTCCCCTCTGCTTTGTGCCCTTGCTGACATGTCCTTTTACAGTTTCTGACCGTCTCTGACTCCTGAGAACGGTGCCAGTCTTCCCGTTCATGTTATTTCTCGTGCTCCCAGCTCCTTTCCTGTCTTCCGCCTCAATTTCTGCCTGGCATGGAGAGCATAGAGCCCAGAACTTAACACACCACACACCTGACAAACATATTAGCCCAAGTAACCCAATTCACTCATGGTCTGCTGGGCGCTACGTGCCCTCAGTGGGCATCTAACTTAATTCTCACCCAGCCATGCAAAGTAGGTATAACGTCCTTCTTTTGGAGCCCAGTAAGCTGCAATTTGAGGACAGTAAGTACGAATCGGAGGTCACCGGCTATGCAGTTGACAGAGCCAATAGTGGAAACACTTAGTGCGGTTCCAAATTATTTCCACAGTGTCAGGAGATTTGGTTTCAAGGCCCTCCTCTTAGCCAACGTCCACCGCAGGGCGTTCCTTATCAGAGGTCACGCAGCATCTCAGTTTCCCATCCAAATTAGCAGCGGGTGGCGGGTATGCGAAGGGGGTGTTCACGTCCACCTGCCCCTCCTCTTGCATTGGGGTGAAAGTCCTGGCCTCAGGGAAGCCCTTCTGTCCTACGCAGCTCTTTTGATTTAGAAAAGCATATGGGGCAAAGGCTTAAAATTCAAACATTTACATTGCCAGGCTTCACCCTGGTGTTTCAGTGACGGCTTGAACCTTCCTCCATACCGCCAAGGCTTTCTTGTTGGACCCTTCCCATCGTGTTCCATTTCCATGTCCTCCCTCCTCCTCTAATGGGACAGTCTCACAGAGCTGTGGGGCCTGGAGAGGGCAGGGGCGGGGGTAACCATTCTTTAACAAATCTTCTCCACTGCCCCCCACACAGTTCTCTCTCACTGTATGTTCTTGACACTGCTGGCCTTGGTGCTTTTGAGCCAGGAGAAGGAAACAGGAAAATTATAAGGTCATTTCTATTATGTCTTTACAAGCACATCCAGGGGAACGGAGCGTGGAGCTCAAAAAACTTCAGTGAAATAAAAAAGGGCCACACACCCCTCCACCCCCGCTTCCCACAAGGTGCTCTG